TGATCAAGCATCATCTGACTTTGTTATTTGTTGATTATTTTGTTGATTATTCACTACTATTTACTGTCTCTAATTTCCCTTTAGTTGACCAAATGGAATATCATTGTAGATCCCCCATTGTTTGGAGTTAACCAATGCGATTCTCTTGGCAGCTTACTCTGCTGTAATTTTTGTGGGCTTGACTGTAATATAATCTTCATTGCTTGTTCACAAAGCTTGAGCTGTAATCGTGTGGATCGGACTACAAATACTGATTGATAGTGAAGATTTTACTTGAAACTAATCAGGAACCTTTTTATCGTTGGAATTAACCTTTGTTAGTCCTTTTGTTGACCTCGTCTATGTCAAATTTACTGTGGTTTTGGTTCTTTTAACCTCCTCTGAGAGTTCGTGACTTCTAAAGTTTCTATTTGATGAAAGTCCTTACCAACCAAAATGAGTGTAAATTTGTATTTCTGTGATTTCATTTACTTTTCAAAGTCTAAAATATACTCTAGTTTGGTTGCTTTACTTTTTAAATTCATTGCTTGATGGTAATATATAATCTCACAGGTACTTACATGTGGTTGATCATTATGACTGCAGGTAAAAGTTTATATTTTTTTGATTCATAGATTTTGAGTTAATCATTGCACCCCAATGCAAAGCCTCCCTAGTCCAAACCAGAACATTGCTCAGCCAGCATCAGCAGCTCAGCGCAAGGTTCTGGTATATAACCCAGACTATCATGGTAAAAAATTTGGAAAGCTTTGGGTACTTGGTCCAAACTACAGGGCAAATTATGATAAATTTCAGGAGGGTATTAAAGAGAAAGCTCTTGTCCATGTACTATGCAACTCGCAATGTTTGCGATCAGCAATAATGGGTGCAATAGGAGATATGGAAACCCAAGTAAGGGCTGCTTATGCTGATGATGTGCTGGATGGTTTGACATCGGATGTGGTCCAAGAGATAATGGTAGTAGACGGCTGCTTTTTTCTCCTGTTGTCATTCTCAATTCTTGGTGCAAAACTAAAGTTCCCGGAGAACGATCTTGTTTTTGGCACAGGATGCGTCACTGAATACATGGGCATGTGGCTAGAGTCCATGTTCTTTGTTGGAAATCAAATCCCTTTCATAGTGCTTGAGAAACTTATGGATCTTAGTTTCTTTAAAGTACTTAAACAAACACTTAAATGTAAGCAGCCACTGGAATTGGGAAAAAGGACCTTACACAAGTTCTTGATTGTTGATCAGAATTCAAAACCAATGGACTTAATCCATTGCCTACAATCCATCATGCTTGGTCCAGAAGGTCGCTCAAACATAGGTGTTGCAAAAAAGGATGATGACATAGGGGACATTGGTACCGCGACCAAGTTATGTAAACATGGTGTTAAAATACGAAAGCTAGAAGGAGATTTGGGGATTAGAGGGATGCGTTATGAGTCCAATGCTTTTGGGGCTGTTTTATACTTGCCTGTATTGAGGGTTGACAGACACACAGGGCTCTTATTAAGGTGTCTTTTAAAGTATGAGATAGCTCAGGAACCTCAAGGGGTTGAACCTGAGGTAATTACTTTCTTTAAGTTTATTCGTGAGCTGATTCATACAACACAAGATAGGGAAGTCCTTGAGTCTGAAGAAGTTGTTCAAGGACAGTCAACAGACTTACTAGGACTTCTAGGAACTTTGGATGTCTTGGTTTCATCTGGCAATATGCACTCTATTAAAAGAGAAATAGTAGGAAATCGACCCTGGCAGTGGCGAAAGCCGCTAAAATGGATGTTTATTATTTCCTCTATTTTGACATTAGCATTTGGTTTTATGCAAATGTACTATGGCATTCTTTCCTACTACAACCAGGGAAAGCCATGAGAGGTGATCTTACTGCATCCCAAAGAACACTGACCGTGTTTGTTGCTGAAGAATAATGCCCATTAATTTTTGGGAAGGAAAGAGACATGGTTCATATTCTTCCTGTTGTTGCATGCAGAGGTTGCTTCCATGTTATCCATCCATTGGAGATATTGTAAGTCTAATCTTAATTTTGAAAAGATTTAAGGGCCTTTGATTATGCATTAGCCATTTTATGGAGAAATGTTTTGTTAAAGAGGTAAGCTGCGGCACTGATCTTTCTAACTGAGGCTGGAGCTGGGTAGGAGGAGACTTCAGTTTATTGGGATCTATCAGCCAGTCACATTAGTGCCTATTGTATGTTGTTCAGCAAGTGTATTGTACTATTGTAAATTCGTTTGCTTCTCTCTCTATAGCCGGAGAAACCTACAAATGCCACGAGGCTGGCGCTGACCATGATGAGTCTTCGATTTTCAGAATTCATCATCTAATGGCAGTAGGCCTTTTTCTACGTTGTTTAGCAATTATATTTCACACTAGTAAATTTTGCTCTCTCTCTCTCGGCAATTTATTCCACGGAGACCAAGCGCTGCTGAGTTTTATTTTTTATTTTTTTCTACTACATAGCAATTTTTTTTTAAATTTTTTTCTACCTACATAGTGTTAATTGAATTTGTAGCTTCGAACATTGAGTACATACTATACTAAGGACTTGATTCTACTCCCTGCTAAGATTCTAAGCTCAAGGACCCCTCATTCTCTCACTCTCTCGACTGAAGCTTTTCTCAATCAGTAGTTATTGTTTGCAATGGTGTGAAGTTCCTGTTTACCAGGGAATGGAGTATAATGAGGGTCAGTTTTCTGATCTCCTTCTTCTTTAAATTTCAGTTGTTTGCCTCCATGATATGTTTTTGTGGTGCTTTCCAGTATCCAAGATTGCCTCTCTTTGTGCTTTTGCTGCGTCTTTTTTAGGCAATGTTGCTTCTTTTTCTTGATGAAGTATATCAGCTTAGTACTATGGAAAGAGATTTTACTTGGATTTAGGATTCTTGAACTGAAAGGTCTCTAGATGGTTCTTTTATCTTGTTTATTTTTGTGTTTAGTTGTGGGCTCTTTTTTTTTTTTTTTTTGGGGGGGGGGGTGTGTGTGTGTGTGTATGTGTGTGTGTTCATTGAGTTTTCTTTGTTTCATTCTGTGGTTTGATGCCATAATACTTCATTTGTGAAAAGCACAGGGAACTAATTGCTGTTGAGGTGAATTTGTTTTAAGATTGTGTTTTACAGCTTAATTTATGTAATTTGATTAATTTTTCGTTAGTTTTATGATCTTATTCTTATTTTAGGTAATCATCTTGAATATAATGAGGTGGACAGTTTAGATGACTGTTTTCTTGTATCTACATGGAATTTGGCAAGGTATAGGTCTGGAGTTAATATAAGCGTGCAAAAGCTTCATATTCTGACCACTGTACTTCAACATTATCACGTGGTAATTACCATCACTTAAAATGTAACTTAAACATGGCTAGATCTCTTATAATATATCTTTACTGGTCTTGATCAGTGTCATTATTATGGCAACTAATCATCCAATATATTTCTTATTTAATCTACCTACATTCGAGGTACGCTGCTGTTCCAGAATTTTGTGCATAGTTCTTTAGAAGTTGCACTTTCTTTGATTGTCAGTCATTTTTCTCTGCTTATTTTCAATTTACTGTATGCATTCACATAAAATTCTCTGCTTGTATTACCTAGAAGTTCGAAGTGTCTCTTTCTTTACTGTTTTTGAATTTCAAAGTGTAGTTGAGACAAAATGTTCAACTTCCAATCCATAACAACTAAACAAATTACAGGTTCAGGCTCCGAGATTCCTATTTATACTTGCCCTGCTTCCACTATTCTGATCTTTGTACATGCTTCATTTGGCTTGTGTTCCATGATTCAGCTCTGTTCTTTCTGGTATTCTTGTCAGCTTGTACTAAGCATTTTGCTGATTTAAGCAACCAGTTTTGCTGACTTCTAGATATCAAAGCTAGAGAAACGTAGATGGATTTGAAGTTGATTATTAATATCTAAATCAGATAAAGCGTCTAAAGAAGTCTAGGTGTTTGATCTCCATTATTACATGCAGATCTTAGCTTCTTAGTTGGATTTTGTATCCTAAATGTGTGTGTGTTTTCATGCTTAAACATAAGATCCAAACAAGCTATCGAGGCATAGATGTTTTAGTAGTTTTACTTTTATAGATGTTCTACACACATTGTGGACCAGTAAGTATTACAACTTGTACAAAGGGCATACTACATAACTGTAGAAATTTTCTCTGTAAGCTGAAGCTTGTACTTTATAGCTTCCATTGATTCTCCCATTGATTCTCTATCGAGTTTGATGCGAAGGCACTATTATTTGTTTAGATACTGAACCAAAAATCATAGCTACTCCTTTTCAAGAGATGGTTTAGATCTCACCACTTCTTTTCAAATATGTTCTACCACATTAAACATCTGAACCAATTCATGATGTTACACATTCACTGCTGTTCTCATGGATTCTTCTTTTAGAAAGATGTCTGAGGAGCCTGAGGCCATAGGCTTGGCCATGTCAGTCTGGTTTTCATTTTGTCCCTTAAATGCATGACCTGTTAGTAGTGGTTTTCCTTTCTCAAAATTTTCTTGTTTCAGAACTTATGCAACTTGGATTTTTTCCAAATTCATATGCCCATGAAACCAGATTCATTTTAACGCCATTGTTGCCTTAGTCATCATGCTATTGAAGCACATGAAACCTAAGCAAAAGTTGCTGGATCTTTGTACTCTAATCTCAAAGGAATCACTGGATTTCACCCTTGCAGGACAGAAGAGTGCGTTTCAAGAGATATCCTCCTCCGAAACCATTCCATAGATGCCGAACACATCAAAGAAAAAGAAAGTTGGAGAATGCAAAGCTTCAGAATTGAGATTTAAGAACCTGATGGGCCTTAAAATTTTGTTTTTTCTTAAGCATGAGAAATCAAGATAACACGAGCAGAAACTCAAAGAGCCACTCAAAAAATTATCATTTTTCCCTTTTTCACTTATCAATCAACTATGTGAACAAGTGACACTTTGAGAAAGGAACCCAAACAAAAAGAATACGTGACATCTCTCTCAAAAAAGAAAGAATAAAAGTAGTTCTTTCAAGTTTCAACACCAAAAAATCATGAGCTTTGGGCTCAGCACTGAAGTTGTAGCCCAATCTGGTTTTGGGCTTAAGGAGGGAAGCTCAAAACGGTCTCCAGCCCAAATTTCATTGATATAGCAATTAGCAAACCTGTGTACCACGCTTTCTGGTGTGCTTTACGGAGCCCTGGAAAGAAAAGCGTGAAATGCTATCTAAGACCCTTAAAACCCTAATTTACTCCCTGCTCTACAACAGCTGCAGGCATCTCTCTATATATATGCATATATACCTGGGCACCGAAGAAGAACCGTTATTCGTCCAGACTCGAAAAACTTGACAACAATGTCGAAGCGAGGTACATTCAATTGCTCCATCCCTTCCATTTTCCCTTTCTTTTTCGTCAAAATTTTGTTTTTTTTTAATTTTGTATTTGGTTTAATGTTTTGTGGTTAGGGCGAGGTGGGTCGGCGGGGAACAAGTTCCGGATGTCACTGGGTTTACCGGTGGCGGCGACGGTGAACTGCGCCGACAACACAGGAGCTAAGAATCTTTACATTATATCGGTGAAAGGGATTAAGGGCCGGCTCAATCGGCTGCCGTCGGCTTGTGTTGGAGATATGGTGATGGCTACTGTGAAAAAGGGGAAGCCTGATTTGAGAAAGAAGGTTATGCCAGCTGTCATCGTGAGGCAGAGGAAACCATGGCGCCGAAAGGACGGGGTTTATATGTATTTTGAAGGTCATTTCTTTTACCCTTTGCATTATTCGTAAAGATTCTGGGTTTCTCCTTTTTTGTTCATTTGCTGATGTCGCATAAGTTGAGTTAGATGTTAGATTTCAGGAATGATATGCATTGTCTGTTAGTTGGGTCATTGATTAATTACTATGTTTTTGATGTTTTGGGTGTTTTTTGTGTCATTAGCGGTTCAGTGGATATTGACTTGTCAAAAGAGCCTTCTTTGTCAGCTCTCGGTCTATTTAAGGCATAAGTGTATCTAGGATAATTGTTTCAATCATTTGTCGTTGGGCTTTAAAGAATATATTGTTTGGTCTTGGTTGTTTGTATAGGATTGTTTTACAACACTGCTGGAATTTGATTTTTTCTTTAATTTTTTAATTTGAAAGTACTCATCTGATTGTACTGAGACAACGCAAGTCATGAGAGGAAAGGAGATGTTCTTAGGTAAGTCATTACTTGGTGTGCAGAAGTGATGGCTGGCTAAGCAGCATCTTGATGTGTGGATTTCTCAAGAACATTTGAGTGTTATGTGCACATGACGTGATGCTTCCTGAGACCAGCTACAGTAAAATGAATGTCAGTCATAAGATCGAGTGGGTTTTAATCATATTGAACCATGCTCTGTCAAGGTTGATACATTTCTATCACATTATTTGAATCTCTTTTTTGCTTCCCATTTTCACAAAATTCTTTTGGCTTAGTCCTTCGGTGCTGCTTGAGAGAGTTGTATGTTTATGACTATTTGTTTAGCTCTGGGGTGTACTTCGGAGAGTTGTTTACTTACTTGTCTTGTGCTTTTTTGAGCTTCTCTTTTTTATGGCTATCTCTTTCTGCGGGGGTCTTCTTTGCTGTTAGGTGGTACTTGGGAGACTTGTGTTGATTGTTTAAAGTCCAGCTAATAATGTGTCTTGCAGACTATGGTTTTAAATTAACTCTTAAGGACGTTGACTGGGGAAAACTTGTTTTAATTTAGGCTTAGAAGGAGATTTGCCAAAACTAGCTTTCGCTGGCTAGGGTTTGTCTTGATGCATCATATGCCATGTTACGTTTGTAGCCTATGAATGTAACAAGATATGATGCTTCCTTAGTCCAGCCAAATGAAATGATATTGTCGAATTTATATCGAGTGGGATTTTCCTTATGAGATCTCACTTTTCGCAATTCGATACATTTCTTCTCATAGATGGTTAAGTATTACCGCTACTCACAGATTGTTCATATCTTCCAGCTCTTAGATGGATAGCTGCAATAAATGACAGGTTATAACATGCAATGGTCTAATAGTTAACCAGAATTTTCATTCATTGTAGTGGGATGGATAAAGTGTGTTTTTACATTTATTTTGTTTGGATGCTGAATCTCCTATTGTACTTGGATGACCTTCCCAGTCTTAGTCAGGTATTAACATACATTTAGTGGTTAATACAGTTACAAGTCTGGAAAAGGGAGTGTGCCTATCGTTACGGATGTATTAAAACCTCTTAAGCATACATCTGCTCCATATGGGCCCTAAATGCAATACACAGCAGTATTGCATCTTTGTAGATAAACAAATTAGTCAGATGTGTCTATGCAAGTATTCATTAGCCTTTTGTCTCAGGAGGGTCCTGCTACCTGGCATCCGTTCCATATCTGTTGCTTCTTTGTTTTGGCTGAAGATGGTTTATGGATCTATTTGGGTTGAAGCATTATCATTGTATTATTATGGTCTTTGTTTGTGATCAATACCCATGATATTTGGGTTCATCCGACTACTTGCTTATCATAGTTATCATGTTCAGAGATTTACACCTGAGAACATTTTGTCAGTTCAGCTATCTATTTTACATGTTTATGTACCTGTGTATAGTGGTTTTTCCATCTCTTTACTAATAGCTGGTAACTAGATAACACCAGACATTAGTCAGGTATCCACCTTCATGTTCTGTGGTTGATACAGTTACACGTCTGGAAAAGCAAAGGCGCCCCTCGTTGCAGATATGATATAGCTTTTTAAAGCTCAAATCTGCTCCATTGGAGCCCTACATTTTTAGCAAGAGCTTCTACATATAATTTGTTAAATTACAATGTCAATCTACAATAACATTTCAGATGTGTGCTTGTGTAATCTTCTGCCTGAAATACGCATAGCAATGCAGACAATTTATCTGGGGTGTGTTATTGAAAACTGCTAACCAATGCATAATCAACTCTGAATTGGTTCTACATATTTTTGAAAATTTTATTTTTTTGAAAAAATAGTTGCAAATAGCATAAGTGTGAATTGCCCTCAAATGTTTCTCAAGGTTAAGGGCTGCATGATACATATATTATCATCATTATCCACCAAGTCTTATTTATACCATTGATTGCAACTTAAGTAGAAGCTTATAGTTGACATGTTCTTCTTCTTCTTTTTTTTTTGGTGTTCTAGGAATGACCTTTATAGATTTACCTCCACTGGGTTTTTTCATGTTTTGGGAATGACCTTTATAGAATTACCTCCACGGGGAGCGCATGAGCTCATAGTTGCTTTTCTTTGCATTCCCTTGTTTTATGTTAATACTTGGACTAGTATTCATATTGTCTGTTGTTTGCTTGGGGATCATGCGCAGGGATTTGGGATATCTTTTTTCATTTGATCAATGTTTGATACCTGAGTTAATGTTTGTCTTTATGCAGATAATGCGGGTGTCATTGTGAATCCTAAAGGTGAAATGAAAGGTATACAATTTGCTCAAACCATGGTGATTATGTGCGAATGCATGCTTAAATACAAGTATTTTGAATCTTGTTGCACTTGACCAAGCAATGGACGGTAATAGCAAGTGTTAGCTAATTTCCTTATTAATTTCCACTTAAATGTCATCGTGGACCAGCAAGATTTGCTTATTAGAAGCTCTCATAATTATCAAAATTCATTCTTGCATTTCATTTTATATTCTTTTTCGATGTTTCAAACTTCTTCTTCTTATTTTTTATTTTATTTTATTTTTTTTGCTCTTTGTTCTCATGTCTTACATGCTAACTATTGTCTTCTTTAGGGTCTGCTATTACTGGTCCGATAGGGAAGGAGTGTGCTGATCTGTGGCCCAGGATTGCTAGTGCTGCTAATGCCATTGTTTGAGATTTGGTCTGCCTTGTCACTTTTAGTTAAAGTTTGACAAGCACAAGATTTTGTATGATATTTTTTGTGTGTGAATGGCAGTTGGCTTTGCTGAAACTTGAAGCTCTTTAGCTCAAGTATTTTTCCTCTTTTTTTTTTTTGTTTTTAAATATTGTTCAGTTCCCTTTTGTTTGAACAGGCATTCCCGTGGTATGCAAAACAAAAAGTCTAGCTGTGAATTTGGAAGGAATTTAAAACTGGTAGTATTATATAGAAGTGGTGATTCAGAGGATTTGCTTCTCATTACCGTTCGCTTTGGATCTGTTTCGCTAATTGAAGATCTCATACGACAAAAGATCTTAGGATCAGCTCAAATGTAGAAAGTTTTCGCTAATTGATTCGGTTAAAAATGTTTCATGCACATTTTGCTTGTAAAATTGTCTCTCCTAAAGCACTGCAGGCAGTTCGGTTGACTTTTCTCGTCTTCTAGTTATTTCTTCTTGCGAGTAAACGTAGGGTTGAATCCGAAATTGGTAATAATAGTTAGCGTCTCTTACTGGTTTGCCAATTGCACCCGGAATACTCTCTGAGAATTACTCATAATGGTACTTGTAACATTTATCTTGACCATCATCCTTTTGGGGTAGGATTAGAATTGCATTTTCCTTGTTTGGATTGTGATTTTCTGTGAAAATTTTTTTACGTTTTTGTGAACACATTTTTCAAATCTTGCATGCATCAAATTATTACAGCATATTTTTTTCCTATAAAAACTGTAAAAATAGTAATCCAACGGGGAGTGTAGATTTTTTGGTCCCAGAAGAACAATCTGCATGTTATGCCTAAAAGTAGTGTAGGCTAGGCAGCAAGTTTATACAGTGACAGAAGAAATAACTTATATATTGCATAATGCTCACCGTCCGTATATTGATGTATCCAAGTGCCACATTTTTGTTGTTGATGCGCTTCCAATTGCTATTTCTGTTCATCCATCCACGATTGAGTTTAAAGCATAGCTGTGGAAATGGCTGCTGGAAAAGTGAGAGAATTTGATACCTTTGCAAAACTCAATTTACATAGAAATAATTGCACATATGGCATTAGCCACTGTCTTGCCGGGTAACCCTGCAACACATTTTGGCAACCCAGAAAACTTTTGTTGCTGAAGGGATTTCTCTTAGCTGGTTAAAAAACGAAATTTTATTGGCCGGTTATAGTTGCACCAATACTCGATTTAGACTATTGAGATTGATCACGTCCAAATAATCGATTTAATATTTCGAAGTTCCTCGGGATAATAAAGAAAATCTATCTATTAATGTTCCTCCAACAGGGATGCAGCTGCTGCTGCAGACAGTTCTGATCAATAAATGGTAGAAATGCGTTGACAAACAAAGCGATCATTTTTTGTATGGGCATCCAATACGTTGACAAATTATAGTCAGCGGCTCCTAAACGAAAGTCGGTCGATGGAGCCCGTGTGATATGCTTTTATGACGTGTTTTAAGAAAGACTTGAGGAAGACTTTTATAACTCGGTCCTAATGTGGAAGACTTGAGGAACTTTCCAAAAATGAAGACCAACGCACTTGACAATGCTGGTGTAAAGTCAAGTATCTGAAGCCTCCTCGCATAGTGACAGTTTTATAGATTCTAATTACCATTTCACAGTCTTTAGTATATTTGTTGCAGACTTTTGGGCAGTATCTTATGGATTAATTGGGATAGAGTAATCCCTTATTTTAATACATTAGGTGTCTTGTTTGCCATGTGAAGCTGAAAATGGACAAGAAGCGCCATGTGCCAACTAATGCCCGCTGCTCCATGTCCTTTGCACCTCCTAAGTGTAAATTGCTGACCAGTTCTACAGATGGTAGCTACTTAAACCGGACAAATTAGACAGCCATCGATGCCCGTTGTAGATTCCCCACTACCCTTTGTGAGGAAAAGGATGGCAAGAAGTGTTGGCATTTTGTTAGCTATCTTTGGCTTCCTGCTAGGCTCAGCTGCAGCAGACTGTAACATTCTCAAGGAGAAGGGCAAAGATGGACTTCAAATCACCTTGAAGAACTACTGTGAGGCTTGGAGGATGAATGTTGAGCTCCATAACATCAGGGATTTTGATGTTGTGCCTGATGAATGTGTTTCATACATGGGCAAATACATGACATCAACTCAATACAAGGTGGATTCTGAGAGGACTATTCATGAATCCATTGTCTATCTCAGCACCAGCTGCAATCTCAAGAAAGATGGCACAGATGCTTGGATCTTTGACATTGATGATACTCTTTTGTCCACTGTCCCTTACTACAAGAGAAATGGTTTTGGGTAAGTTATTTCAGCTATATATAAGATTCTATTATTCATTCGCTTTAAGCCTGATTCCTACCATTGTTTTTAATAGGGGAAAGAAGTTGAACTTGACCTCTTTGGAAGAGTGGATGAGCAAGGGCAAAGCACCAGCCCTTCAGCACTCTCTGAAGCTTTTCAATGAGCTTAAATCACGAGGAGTCCGGATCATTTTGGTTTCTTCAAGGGTGGAGCATCTCAGATCTGCCACAGTCGACAACCTTGTCAATGAGGGCTTCTTTGGCTGGAGTAGTCTCTTATTAAGGTCTGGATATGATTTCTTTTGCTAGCACAATAAGCATCCTTTTAAAACATGATTCTGTGCATCCGCTCTAAATGGTGTCTGCCTATCTTTTGAGATTATTCTCATTGCTCTGTTGTTGCAGGGGAGCTGATGATGCATGCAAGGACATCCAGGGATTCAAATCTGATGCAAGGAAACAATTGATCAGCAAGGGATATCGCATTTGGGGCATTCTTGGCGACCAATGGAGCAGCATTGAGGGGCTTCCAAGTGCAAATAGAACATTTAAACTTCCAAATCCTTTGTATTATAGTGCCTAAAAATCGCAACAGTCCTCCTACATACTCAAGAAGAGTCATCTTTTCTGCTTAATATTTACAGTCCTAGTTGCATTTAATATTTTCCTAACAATCAAGCTTGTCGTGTCCTAGCATATTTTGTCATCCCCGGTTATAGAATAAATTTCTGCTCCTAGCATATTTTGTCTTGGATGCCATAATAAGTAGTTCCAACAATTAGGTTCACAGTTTTGTCTAAGCTTATGTGCTAGAGTTTCTTGCGAGAATCATATATATGGTAGCTGACTGCCCAGATACAGCAAGGGCAATCACTAGGCAAATAGTACATATTCAGCTTCCAGTTTCATTCTCATAACTTGGAATATTTCGATCGCTTTTACCGTACAAGTTGGGACAGTTTACATAGGAAAAGAGACAAAACTTGCTAGGCCAAAAACCAGATAACCAGTAGTACGTAGTAATATTACATAGTAAGGGCTATTCATGCCATAATAGCTGTCTAGCGAGGGATTAACTTCGAATCCTTTTTTCAGGACATCGAACAATTCACGCACGACCAGTCTCTAGCAATTTTCTAGACCTAAGATTTACTGTTTACCGGTTCAACGAAAGCCTTCAGTCAATACCCCAAAATAGATTAACCAAAAAAAAAAAAGAACGAAGGAGATGGACCATAATAAAGATAACAAACAGTCTGGTAAAACTAAGGCATATTTTGAGCCGTACATCCACCAAAGGTTGGAAGATTTTACCACGTTTCATCTCTCAAAATTTCCCAGCGGGTATCAGACTTTCCACATACCTAAGAGGACCAACAAAGGATGCCCGGCCAGAATATGTGTGAATTTCCTTGAGTGACTTGGTTTGTACATTGTAAGCCAATATACTATAAGAGCCTGAGATCAATAACTCCTCGCCGGACTTGGTGAAGAAGAGAGGCTCCCACCCCCTCACACTTCTCAAATTCGCTCCACCAGATATAGCGCACAAAGTAGCCCAAGATTCCTTCACACCATATTCTCGCATAACAAAAAGCTCGCACTTGAATGTATAACCTCCAGCGGTATATCTAGACATGCAAAGGCATCCGTCCAAAACTCCCAGCCTGTAAATAGGCTCATTCCCACCACGTACCACTGCTGGCGGGGGTAATTTGCTAAATCTGTTAGTGGCTTCATCAAAACAAACAATCAAGTCACCGTCAATGATCTCCTGATTATTTTCATCTATCCAATGTAAATTACCGTTGGCTAAAACCCCTGTTCCCCTAAGCCTGTAGGGGAGACTGACTTCTCTTAGAGTTGTTCCCCTCTTCAAGCTAAAAACAAGAGCCCTTTGAGAAGGAAACGATAAAGAATAATACACCATTATTGCTTTGTAATCATCTGACAACTTGTCGAAGCAAAATCCATAGGCCACTGGATAATCAGTAATACGGTTTTCACCATACAACATCCTGCTGCTAAAGCTGATCAAACCTCTAAAAGATCTTGTTGATGGGTTCAAAAGATAGAAGTAACAACAACTATAGCAGTCGTAACTAGTATCATAAGTACTGAAGAGCACCAAACCGTTACAAGATCCCAGAAAATCTAAATGCCGTTGATCCCAACATTGCCTAGGAATCTCTCGGATTGCATACTGATGGTCTAAAGAACTAAAACATCTTTTGCCACTACACCAGAAGATCGCGTGCTCTCTACCTTTAGTCGCCAAACTGAATCGAGGATCGGATAGCAAAGAGTTCCATAACTTGCAAACCAACTTGAATTTCAAAATCGATTTCACCGGCAGTCTAGAGAGTATCTCAACAATAATTTCCTCTGGTATGTGAACGTGTACCATAGTGGTAGTCCTTCCAAGTCTTCTGGGGCGTAAGTTTGTTCTCTTAACAAAACTCGTATATGAAGAAAAGAAACATATGCTAATTCAACTTAGGGTTTGTTAAACTGTCGTTCGTATTTATTGAGCAGCCGTCAGCCAAAAAGCTTTTAACTAAATTTTTTAAGAGTCCACGCACAGTTAAATTTGGACGAGAAAAGTCAGCCCGAGCTTCTCTATTCAGCTCAAAAAATTTGCACCAGGCCTTAAGTATTAATAGGCCGAAGCCTAGCTTACTGCTTACCTGTAAATAGAGAGAGTAGCCTTTTGGTATAAATAAAATTGTCGCTTTATGATATTTTTAAAAAAAAAAACCCTTCATAAACTACCTATGACTCATATTTTCCTCTATCTCTCTCATCATAAATATCAAGAAAGTATTTTTTTAACGTAATTTTTAATAAAATATAGTGTGATTACAAATTATATATTTGCTTTAAATAATGGATATACAAGGATTATCTATTTACACATTTTATTTTGGTGAATTTTTTCTACCTGTTTATTTTCAAAACAAAAAATCAGATCTCATAAAAATGATTTCAGGAAAATATATTTCAAATATTAATATCTTTTATTACTTGCACACACATCATGCTCCTTGAACACTTGTATGCACGTTAATGTAGGAGGCAAGAGTATTGTAGACTATTATGAAATATCAGTTATTTTGTATTTTTTTGAAGATGTGATGAATTATCAGTTATTTGTATTTTTTCTGATGAGTAATTAATTCTGCCCATCGAGATAAAACTAACTATCAATATTAAAAACTCAAAATCAAATTAATAAATTAACAAATTCGATCACCCTTCCACTACTTTTTCATTTTTCCAAATACCAAAAAATGGAGATAAAAAATAGATAAATACAAAATAAAAAGTAACCATTAAGGATTTGTAGTCATTAAAAATATAAGTTTTGAAACTTATAATAATGATATTTGCAGTCATCACTGCCATGCTGTTTGTCACTTTTAAAGTCAACTTCCAAGGCGTGCTAAATGGAAAATATGTTGCTGCTTGTTAACGTTAAGATGGATTTCCATTTCATTTATAGAAGAGAATAAACAAACCAAAGAATGCAAGAAGTGCAGTTGTAAAAAATGATTGCTGTACAATTACAATCAAACTTGAGATTATAGTAAGCAAGTTTTAGCCTACCAAGTTTTGCTTATAGAATACTATCCTTACATTTCATTCATCTAGGATAACAAAAAATACTACTAATAACCTATAAAAACTTGGAGTATGTTGTACCCTTAAGGGAGGAAGAAAGAAAATCAACTTCACCTAACATCAAGGCTTGTAATTCACCACCTAATGAAAAGAAAACGTGTGAAAAAGATCTTGACCAAAAATACTTTACAGTATAGGGATGCCTTCATAACAATCAACTCTAGCAATTGAAACCACATGCACGTGTTTGTACAAAGCCACACAGTGCTATATGTTATAAATCTAACAGATTCTTTTCAATAACCTATTCTATTCTACACACACCAACTACATCAATTATCAATTGCCATTACCAATCGGGGTTGGGCCAAGTGATAAGCAGTTTGGTTCCGTTTAAGTAGGTATTGGATTCAAAACTTTGCGTACGCAATCACCCTTGTTGGGAGACTCACCCACCACAGTCAGGTGTGCGATCCGAGTCGACCAACGGATACCGTGACAGGCAACCAAAAAAAAAATTGCCATTGCTGAGTGCTGAGTGCTGAGAGTGTAGATAGAAGCATATTTAAGTATGGTGCATGACGCAACATGCAATTGATCTCATGATCGAATTAGTATAGGTCACCTTAAAAACAAGCAAGGGATTGTAACAGAGAATTTCTAAGCATGGAAATTCAAACTCCTTTTACACCAGATGCTTCATTCTCTGAGAATTTATCCCCGGATCTAGTACCTAACGAGAGAGAGACAGCGAGTGGGTCAGTCACACAAACAAAGTACCGTAAAATTGAAGAGTTGGATTAGTTCTTGGGAAAGCATTTTAGTGGAAGGCCGGAAAGTTTAATTTTTTGGTCAAAGCAACTTTCTGATTTACAACACAGTTTGCACGGAAAAGCTAACAATTTTGCATGGACGGTAACTGAAACAATGATCAAACAATTCCAGAAAATATAGATGCAAAATCAATTGATCATATCTTTTGTACCAAAATCAAGTTGAATTTAAAGTCGAGTGCTTAGAGGCCATAATTACTCACAAAGTCACTCTAGCGACCCTCGTAAATTTAACAGCTGATTCTCACAGATCAAGATGAAAAAAATTTTCCAATTCCCACCTTTAAAGACACCATTTAACCCCAACAACTTATTAAGATACATTCATATTGCTGGCCTGGTTTTCTATGTCAACTAGTACTTTAGTCTAAAATTGAAGTTTAAGAATTGAAGCAGAAGTGCATCTGAATTTTGAGGGTCCGAAGTGGAATTTACCCTTTTATGTTTGACTACTTAATCAATTTTGTAGAAGTGTGAAAAGATTGAAATTGAGTCATTTATTGACTTTTGTATCTTTACACTAAATTTTTGAGGAGATTTTTGGCTGAGAAAGAACAAGAGATTTTTCTAAATTTATTTTTAATAGCATCTCTTCATGATCATAACAACTTTTCTTTTGTCCGCTACTCTCTTAGATTGACTAAGATAGTTCAACTAATATCTAAACTAGACAAATTTACGTTAATTTGAAGGGCCTGTAGCGGAATACCTGGAAATTGGATATGCAACAAAAAAAATCTGTTTTACAAATGACAAAGTTTAGACAGGACATAATGATGCACTATTAGGAACCAGGAATACAAGCTACAACTTCACAAAAGAAAAAAAAAAGGTCCATAAAAGTTCCAAATGTACTTGATTCAAAGAGTGAGATAAGTTCAGGGGCTATTGCATGGGAAAAGAAATGTTATCAATTGTTCAACAAGACATTTTTCAGCCAACTGGCTTTGGTGGGCCAAATTCCATCTTAGTCGAAATATTCTTGAGAATAGAAATCTATTCGTAATCCAACTGGATCACTGGGAAGTTTTGTTTAGCTATGCATAAACTTATCTGATTCTATTGGTCTTTTGAGTACTGCAGGAGACTATGAGGTTATCTAGTACTAGTTTATCTAGTAACAAATAAGTCATGCCTAACCAATGAAGCGCTTCAATTCTCTTGATCCTTACGTCTTTTTTATTTTTATTTTTTCTTTGGCTAGCATGTCATATTGACAGAGATAGCAAAAAAAAATTTCCACTTCTCTACACAAATAACGATGTTCTGCAACAACTTGCAAGATAATGCGTACACAAATAACGATGTTATGCCTAGCCAATGAAGAGCTTCCCTTGATTAAAAAAAAAACAGCCTTTATTTTGCTTGCTAGCATGTCATATTGACATGGATACTTCAGCTAATATATCTCAATTATCCCGTATTATATATATTGATTATCGTACTTGTGGCAACACATTTGTTCAAATTCTTTCTATAACTTGTATTTGTAATGTTCAGCGACACCTTGCAAAGTTATACTTAGTTTTGACTAATAACATGACAAATATGGTCACGCCTAGCCTTCAAAGACCTTCTGAAAATGAGATCATGAAGAGCTCTGTTTTCAAACTCGGATCGGATCGGCCGGTCGAACCGGTCGAACCGGGAACCGGCCAGGTAGTCGGTCCGAGTCAACTTAGAAAACCGGAAATTTTAAAACTCGGTCAAAGCCGGTCAAAATTCGGGTTTGACCGGGTTTGACCGGGAAAAAACCGATTTTTCCGGTTCAACAGTAATTTTTTAAAATAAAATTCAAACTTTATAATATTATGTTTTGGCCCCCTAAATTATTAAAACTTATTCGTATACCTCAAATATTTGATACTTTATAAATATTGTCCTACAATTTGATGTTATTTTTCAATTAAATTCATAATTTTAATTCTAAACTTGTTAATATTTATTAAATAATATAAATTGCTACTTGATTGTTCTAATTTTTTTGTATTTTCTTGTTAAATATATTTGAAACATCAAATATATATGAATATACCTTTATTAATATCAATATATTATTAGATATGATATATATAATATTTTAATTTTTAAATAATTTTTATTTATGACGTCATCCGGTTCGACCCCTATCGACCCCCCGGTCGAACCCATTGACCCCTGACCCCTGACCTTGGCCGAGTCGCTATCCGGTCCGGTTCTGAAAACATAGATGAAGAGCCTGTCCTGCTGTAGAGTCGGCACTATAATTTGCCAGACGATCAGCCGGTGAATTCGCTTCCCTGAAACAATGCGAAATCGTATGAAAGTGTTGTCTAAACGTAAGCAACTCATCCAGCTCTCTCTACAACTACCAGATTTTATTTTAATTAGCTTGCGAACTAAACTCAAATGAATTTTTATCAAGCCAAACTCGATTCAAGTATCGAATAGTTTGGCTCGTCTTCTATCCCTATTTACAACTCGCCCCCTGATAAAGTTCAAAATTCGCTTGCAAGTTTATGCTTAATATTGACTAATAGTAATTAAAAAAAAAAAAATCGACCGATAGTAGATATTAAATATGGTCATGCCTAGCCAATAAAGAGCTTTCCTGTATCATCATTACCAACCAATTTTTTTTTTCTTTGGGTACTGGAGCACGTCATAGCAGCAGAAAATTATCTCAACTACACACGTTTATATAATTTCGAGTCCATGCATTCTTTCTGCAACTTGCACTGATAAATTTTAGCAGTAGCTTGCAAGCAAGTAGTTTCTTTAATTTTGAGTAACTGATAACATTTGCCTGGTGATAGCAGGTCAAATTGACAGAGTACCTGTTGCAAATTTTGTTTGAATCTCTATTCATATCTATATTTTTTTTTTTTGGTCTCCTTTGTGTGATGTATGTCTAACACCTAATTCTATATCTATACAAACTCCTGAAATTGCGCTAAAGTCATAATTTGTTCGA